TGCACGTCTGCGCGGAACCTGGACCCAAGGCCAAGGAGCTCTCTCGATACAGGATCGTGCAACCCGCCACGGCACCCATCATATTGATCGATGGCTCGCTGGGCAACTCCAGGGTCCCCCAACCGCCCCAATAACCATGGAATCGTATTCAAATACTGGATGCGCTCCGATGCTAGGAAATGGGCATGCCGAACCGACCCCACAACTTGTTGGAGAAACGCCAAGTCGCCACCAGGAAACCTTCGGACATTCCACGCGTTTGCCTCTCGGAGCCCACTCCGTAAGACACTCGTGGCATGCTGACGTGCAACGCCAAGCAAGCGACCTCGCACGCTGCAACCAGGCTCTCCTGGGGCGTGCTGAAGCAACGCTCAAAACGCACAACAAGACGGTAGGCAACTCCCTTGCTTTAGGGGCCCAACGCGGGCCCACGGCGGACGATTATCTCGGATGCCACCAGTAAATTAGTTCACTTTCCGAACCCGCAGTTACGATCCAGAGAATCGAAGTTGGAACATAGATTGAGAACCGAGGACCGAGCTCGAGGATCGAGGACCGAGGCTCGAGGCTCGCAGGTCGAGGATCGGGGATTGAGGCTCGAGGGTCGAGGCTCGAGGTTCGACGATCGAGGATCGAGGGTCGAGGCCCGAGGCTCGAGGTTCGAGACTCCAGGTTCGAGGCTCGATGATCGAGGATCGATGCCCCAGGATCGAGGATCGATGCACGATGCTCGTCCTCCTCCACCCCTCCTCCACCCCCCCTCCTCCACCCCCCTCTCCTATACTCATCAGAGGTAGTGCCTTCCCCTCCTCCTCCTTCGGCTTTTCTCAATCCACCTATTGGCGGCTCTTGCTGCTCACTGGTTGCCTGTGTTTTCCTGGATGGGCTGGTGGAGACCCGCGAAGCGGTGACATATGTATGCATGACGCTTGTTTTTTTTTAAGGGGCGTCCTCGTGGATGACACAAGCACGTGCCAGCGTAGTTCTGTAAAGGCGTCAGCCATGCAGCAAACCATGCCACAAATGCCAATTCTCTCTTGGACCAAGTCGGCGATGCCAATGCTGCCAACACTGTGCTGAATAGCGTTTGATCCTTCATCCCCCTGAACAATTCAGGATCGAAATAGTTGATGAGCGTGTGCACTATGCCACTGACTGGTTTGACGCACTCGTGTAAAGTAGACCAGCGCCACTTCGCAAAAGAGGGGAAGTGGAAAACTTCGAGCACCTCCGCAGCATCAACTGAACCACGACGCCTGAGCTCCACAGTAAACGTCTCCATGAGGTTCTTGTCCCGAAGAAATTTGACAACTGCTTTGAGCTTCGTCAAGAAGTCGGGGAAGAAGGACAACATCGAAAGACCTCGCTTTATGACCAAGTCGAATGTGTGCCTCCATCCGCTGGAGCGCAATGCCCTTGGCATCAAGCGCCCTTCGGTCCTCAGCCCGCGCGGCGCTGGCATTTTGATGAACCAATAATAGTCAGGCAAGAAATTAATCATCGTGTGAATCTTGCGCTCAACTCCGCTGTCGGTCAGAATGCCTCGAACTCGCTCCAGCAAGCGAGGCAGCAACTTTGGGCCGAACATGAGCGTCAACTGCCACAGGAGCGCAACCGTCTTTCCTAAAGTGTCCTGCTGATCTCTGCCGAGGGAAACCACTGGTAAGAGTCGGTGGTACATCTCGGTGGCGCCACGCCGCTTCATAAATATATCTATTGACGAAACATATAGTTCTTTCCCTCTGTGCTGCGGGCTACCGTCCACATACAAGAAGATGTCCATGTCTGAAGGCGGCACCGTTTTGATGAACTCCCTCCAAAGGTGCATGGCGAAAACATCGAACCTAACACGGGCCGCCCTGATTATATCTCGGTTGATCGCGGGCTTGAAGTCTGCCACAACTTGGGCAACCTCAGGGTCAATGATCAGAGCGATCACGCCAGCAGCTGACTTGACTGACTTATTGATCTTTTTGTAATCTTTGATTTCGTCGCTATGCCGTAGCGCTGCTATGGTGCGCCGCATCTTCAAGTCGGGCAGGATTGGAGCTTGGAGCTCGCCTCGGCCGGCCTCTGGAACTTCCGCTGGCACCCCGCAAGATCGACGGAATCTTCTAAGCTGCTTGGGAGAAGGCTTGACCGTAAGAAGATGCATTCTTCTTGGCCGCGACGGGCCGATCACTGTGACATGCAGTATGTGAAAACGTCCTGCCACCAGCAACTCGGCAAACGCAGGCGAGAAACGCTCGGCCGAGGTCACCCCTGCGCCATTTTGGCGTCGCAACCAATCCTGTACTGTAGTCTCATCGCCATCGAAATCGCGACCTCGGTCGGCATCCACTTCGCGAGCTTGACGAGGAGGAGTCTCAGATACAGGCAAGCGAGGATCAAACAGCATGATCGAATCCACGAGCATGTACACCACAAAACCCATTACCGAATCACAATTTCGAACAGCGGATGTCACCATCATCCTAAACGTGTCATCGTCACACTCCTCGATCTCCTCAGGCGTGCAAAGAAGCCATTTGGCACGAACCAGCCCCACAACAGAACCATCTTGGCAATGCTGAAATGGAACACCTGCAACAGCTTCAGACCAGCGCCCCACGGAGGCAGACACCACCACCACTATCGACTCCGCCCCCTCGTTCGCAGCCCGGGCTCTGCCTGGTCTACGCGCGGGCCTGCCGCCGTCTCGCCTAACAGGCGCGGGTCCAGAACCGACGAAATCATCGTCTGAAACGCCGCCTCCAGCAACGATGGGCGCTGGAGCCCTGTCCGCAACGCCACCGACGACAGAGTCAGAATCGGACCCGAACATGCATAATAGAAAGATCACACGTGCACGAAGATGTAAGAGGCCCATTCTAGAATGCTTGATCTCATATGGCACATAAGCTGAACCGAACGTAAGAGGAGGACAAGCAGCAAAATGATTCGCAAATGTCGCTACCCCCTCGCGCGCCCAAACAGGTCTAGCAGAAGTGCGGACCTTCGCGTGTGATCCTCAAACCCGTCTGGAACAGAGGAGGGTCCGACGTTCAAAAGAAGAAACTGTTTGGAGCCCATCTCAAAACCAGGGGGCCCCCTCATCACCTTGTCAACGCACCACCTTTCATGCGCGCTTTCGGGCACCGACGCCACTGGCAGATCCAGTCACTCTACTCCCTCATGCTCCCCGCACACGTGGAGATCAGGAGGAAAAGAGAATGGGGCGACACTCGGAGGCGGAGGGGGAGGAATCGGGGAGGAGGCAGATGAAAATAAAGAAGCTCTGAAGGACGGGGGTCAGAATTATGATAAACCCCGCCAGTCACAAACGGGCGGCGGGACACTGGGAAGCCAGATGATCGAAGCCCCGATGACGGTCCCCCCCAAAAAAAAAACAAACCCAAGGTGAGGACGAGCGAAGCGCGATGATGGACAAGGACATTGCTCAGCTAAGCGTTCACTGTCAGAACTCACAGATGGAGCGCGACTCTCTTACCTCTAGTTTCATACACTGGTTTATGACACGGATGGTGGGCCGTCACGCGACTCAATTAGGCGTGCACCCCCGTGCGTCATCCCTGTCAATGGCGCAATGCAAACATGAGCGGGGCGCCCACGGATTGGTCCAAGGTTTGCCGCGACGTGCGCTCTGAAAATGGTATTTGTCAGAATCATTGTCTTGTTGTTTACGTATTACTGAACAACATGTTTGTTTCCATTTGGAGACACTTGAAGTGATACCTTCTAGAATGGTGTTTTTTTGAAATCAGGGGGTAGACGATTCCGCCCTGGGCCCATGGGACCACTAGAAAACCACTAGGAGACCACTAGGGGGCCACTAGAACGTCTACCTTAGGGGGCGCGCTTCCGCGAAAGCCATGTCTTACCAACGCAGGAACTGCCACCAGGTTACTTGGGCATGGATTTTCCTAGGCAGTGGCGGAAATGTCCGTGGAGTGCATGTTCGGCGCATTTGGGTTTTCCGGTCTGCGGTGATACAGCCGTCTGCCCGGGCAATAATTGTCACAAGTGACCCCCCTGTGGTTGAAGTCACCCCTTTTCGTTCCCCTGGGGGGTGGGTCTTCCGTGGGGGGCCTCGTCGGGATTTTGCACCCCACGGGAAGGGAGAGGGAGGGAACGGGATTCTTCATAGCCTTCAATTCAATCCCCAAGAACCTCGGGCAGTAAGTGCGGCCCGGGGGGAGGCGGACCGCTCACCCATCCCACCACCATACGGGGGATGTGAAGACCCTGTGAGCGGGACGGGGTGGGCACAGGGGGGCCACCAAATGGCATCCCGCACCCAAGTCGTGGCCGTCATGGGCCTCTTCTTGGGATGAGGCACCAATCGGCCTCTCGGATGGGCACCATACGCCCGTCCACAACCAAAGGAAGCGCACCATTTGCCTTCCGCATTTCTTTGGCAATTGATTGCAACACTCATGGACCTTTTCATTTGTTACTTCAACCTCTCTCCAGTTGTGCCGACGAGCGCCCCCCCAGGAGGCCCAGGAAGGCGAAAACGCGGGAATTTCATCGGTATCGTTTTTTTCCCTCTCTGATGCCTCTCTTTCGTGCCCCGTCCTCCGCCCACGCCGCGGAACACGACGGTGGCAGGGCGCCGCGAAGCCAATAAGAGTACATTAAAACGGCGCAAGAAACCCCATCGTATCGGCTACGCGCAAATGTGGTCCCATGCAAACGTGGCCTTTGGTGCGCGGTTTGGGGGGCCAAATCGGCCAAATCCAAGCGCCCGAGCCAGTGCTGAGGGATTCCTGCCGGCCCGCACCAAAAATCACCCTGGCGGAGTCGCTCGTACGCGTAGCCGATCCTGCAGTTTCGCGCCCCATCCTCAAAAGGAGTTTCCCAGACCCCTCCCCGGGTACATCCTGACTCGTTTGTCGAGAAGGATCCAGCCGTGGCGACGGCCAACCCTCCAGGAGGCCCAGGGAGGTCCAGAAACGCCAGAAATAATTTCCGCCGCTGTCCCGCCTGGCCCCCCTTAGAATTCTGACCGCACCGGCCCGTCCTACGCCCACGCCGTGGAACACGGCGGCGACCGCGGTGGAATGCCGCCTCTGCGCGGTGGCCGGCCGCCCCCCGGCAGGCCCGCTGGCCGCGCCGCGGACCAGGGGCGCCAGCCTGCGCAGCGGCTGCATGGCCCGGGACGCCGCTTCGCGGCGCGCGCCGGAACAACCGGACGGGCTGCCGACGACGACGTCCACGACGTTCACGACAGCGACGACGTCCACGGCGACGACGTCGACGGTGACAACGTCGACGTCCACCACGGCGACGGCGACGGCGGCAATCACGGCGGCGGCGACCGAGCCGCCTCGGACGGACCCCCTGCGCGCAGCGGCGTGGCGGCGACGTGGCCTGCCGATCGGTCCTCCTGCTGATCCTGCGCGCAGCAGGGTATGTAAGCTCAGCCTCGGCTCCGCCCAGCGTTTGGCGTGCAGGAAGCGGGTCCCGAGGGGAACGGGCCGAGGACCCCCTGGGCCTTTCCGGGAACCAGCCCTTCATCCCGCGTCGTTCTTTGACGGGGAACCCGATATTGGAAAAAAAAAAAAAAAACGCAGGAACTGCTTCCCTCAGGACCCCTTTCCTGGGCCGAAGAGGAGGGGGTCCACAGGGAGGAAAGGAGGAGGAGGAGGAGGAGGAGGAGGAGGAGGAGGAGGAGGAGGAGGAGGGAGGAGGAGGACGAGGACAAGGAGGAGGAGGAGGGGGAGGAGGAGGGGAGGAGGAGGGGGGGGGCCAGGGAACGCTTTGAAAGAACAAGAGGGGGCAATCAAATCTGGGAGGCATCATGGCCTTGGCCATGATATGCCCCCCCCACTCCGTGGACGCGGCCTCGCAAAGGGCACGCTGGGGTTGGCTCGTTCCTGCTCCTCCTCCTCCTCCTCCTCCTCCTCTGGCGGGGCGCGGCTCCCGAATGGGCTGATTGTGCGAGCCGCGCCGCACCTGCAGGCAGCCGTTCCTCGTCGTGGCCTCCTTGGGCGTGGGGTCCGTTCCCTCCTCCTCCTCCTCCTCCTCCCTCGTCCTCCTCCTCCTCACTTCCTCGTTTTGCTCCTCCTCCTCCTCCTCCTCCTCCTCCTCCATTCCTCCTCCTCCTCCTCCTCCATTCCTTCTCCTCCTCCTCCTCCATTCCTTCTCCTTATACTTAACTTCTCCGTGTCGCACCCCGAGGCCAGTTTTCAGGCGGGCGGGAAATTCCGCCTGAGACTTCCTCACCACCACTTTTGACCCTGAAGCTTTAACATTGGCAACCGGTTCACGGATTGAGGGCGGGTCGTGTTAAAAATGTGGTTCTCGCTCTAGCGCCGCGCACATTCGTTACAGCAACTTATGGGAGCTTCACTGATTGAGGGCGGGTCGTTTTCAAAGTGTGGTTCTCGCCTCAGCGTCGCGCGCATTCGGTTTAAACACTTTCAGTGGCTTCACGGATTAAGGGCGGGTCGTTTTCAAAATGTGGCTCTGAACTCAGCGCCGCGCACATTCGTTTTAAACATGTGCAAGAGTTCCACGAATTGAGGGCGGATGGTTTTCCAAATGTGGCTCTCGCCTCAGCGCCGCAAATATTCGATTTAAACATGTGCAAGAGCTTCACTGATCGAGGGCGAGCCGTTTTCAAAATGTGGCTCTCGCCTGAGCGCCGCGCACATTCGTGTAACACATGCCAGAGCTTCACGGATTGCGGGCGGGTGATTTTCAAGTTGTGGCTCTCGCTTTATCGCCGCGCGCATTAGTTGTCACTATTTGTATACATGTCACGGGTTCCCATGATCAACGCACAAGAAACGGTGTCTTGGACATATTCAAGGTTATGAGGGTGTAACAGTTACGTTCATTCACGGTGTTGAAATCCCAAGAACGGCGTTCTGGCACGATTCAGGATCGTCAAGCCGCAGTCAGGTTGATCCGTGGCATTGGAATCCCGAGAACAATGTTTGGGCGTCTTCAAACGGTTGTCTTCCAACGAAGCAGTCCCCTCAGTGGGAATGAACCGCTGCAGGGGCCTATGAAGAGGGAGCTTGGCGGCAGGGTTTATTCCAACCAGCATCTTTAATGATTCTTGGGTTTAAACTGGTCCTCCTCTTCCTCCTCGTCTAGCTACTTATCGTTGTCCTTTTCCTCCTCCTCCTCCTCCTCCCCCTCTTCCTCTTCCTCCCCCTCCTGCTCAATCTCATCGTTTTCCTCGTTGTCCTCCTCCCCCTCGCCCATCCAGATGGGTATCTTCCTGCGTTCCTCCTCCGTCGATCCTGGAATACATTTCCACTCTGCCAGAACCTTGCTGGCATCTGGGTGGCGCCATCCAACCTGTCAAGGAACAAGCACATCTTACTACTGCTTGTCGTTTCGACATAGACATTATGTCGACCGTGTTTGCAGAATGCTTGAAACAACGGGGCGCACATCCCGCGCGGACGGCCGGAATGTGGCTCTCGCGTCGGCGCTGCGCTCAGTTTTCTAGATAATCCAGCTCCTTCTTAGCGCATCGCGCATTTTTCGCACGCAGCTTCTTCGACGCGCGAGCGGACGAAAATGTCGCTCTCGCCTCGACGCGGCGCAGATTTCGTCTGAAAGCAGCGCTCCCGCCCCGACGCGGCGCATATTTAGCACGCCCCATTTCATTAGGTCCGCGCGAATGGGCGACTTGTCGCGTTCGCCCAAGTTCTCTGCGCATTTCGCTCGGAAGTGGCGCTT